AGTTTCTCAGGCATGAAGTAAGCCCAGTCGACATTGCTGGCACAAAAAACAGATTTTTTTAAAAGGGGCGTTGTAGTGATCATAGCCTAGATCTTATTATTTTAATGAGTTTTATTTTCCCCTCTGCACATCCTCATAGTTTTATTCTTCTTTTTCTTTTATGATAATTTTGTTTTAAAGTTAAAGTTGGTTTAAAGTCTTACCATTACCAAAAAACCACAGTGTAAAACAGAATGCAATCAAAGTCAAAACTCTTAAAACCATATATTATTCACAATAAAACATAGAAATCTTTTAATAATTTACTATTTTATTAAAATGTTATCTCATTCTGAATTTGATGGCAGCAACAATTGTTTAAAAAGGTTGTGAAAGAAACAGGTGGTGAAATATTTTTAACTAATTAAGTTAATTGGCAAAAAGTCAACAATAGATTGGATATTTAAAAGAGTTTGTCTGAAGTAAAGATGGGCAGAGGTTCACTAATCTGTAAATAAAACATCTGCATTTACAAATTGTGGAACAATTTCAGAACAATATTCCCGAAGGTAAAATTGTAAAGATTTTAAAAATCATCTAAATAAAAAAAACATTATCATCAAAAGATTTTTAAAATCTGGAGGAATCTCTGTGTGCAATCAGTATTGGATGCTATATAGTCTTTGGGCACTCGGGCAGTATTGCATTCAAAACAGACATGATTCTGTCATGGAAGTCATTGCATCAGCTCAGAGACACTTCCAGAAATCAGGTTTTAGCAGCATTTGCTCCATCCAGCTGATGTCCTTTTCAGGACCCACACATCCTAGATCTATTACAACAGCATGGCTTTGAAGTAGAAGAGTCCAGGTTCTGAACTGCCTTCAGTTCAATACAACAAAAATACAAGAAGATCCAGGACTGTTGAGCACATGGAATTTATATCAGGCAAGATTGGAAGAACAGTCCTTTCCCAGAAGTTCCTCTCCCCAGTTCCTAGACATTTATGGAGTGCTGTTAAAAGGGGAGGGGGTGATACACAGCCTAAAACATGGCCCTGTCCCACCTGTTTTCACATTTGTTGCTGCCATTTTCTCCGTTTAAGCAGCTGATACGTCCCTGTGCTCTTCTGTGAATAAAATATGGGTGTATGAGATCTGAAAATCATTCTGTTTTTATCTACATTTTACACAGCTTACACATGCTAGTTTTTCCTTTTTAAATGTTAATTTTTTTTCAGTCAGTCAATAAGCTTTAGTGACAGATTGGTGTCACAACTTTATGACCATGTTGTTCACTTAAATGCTTTAATAAATGACTAGAAAGTGTGCTATTCTCAGAGATCCAAAGTTTAAGAAAAATCTTGCACAATTCTGGCTCATGATTTCTAACAGGGAGGCTTTACCATCCCCCACTGCTGCAAATGCCTCCAGACCTGTTTACAATAGCAGGTACTTGCTCTCCAACTTAAAGTCTTAAGCCTCTGTGTCCATTCATGCCTCTTATTTTTATGGGGATTGTAGGTTACTTACATCCCATTCTGGGGACTGACCTTCTCTTTGACTAGGTTTGTTGGAATAAAAACCCAAAGAAACACAGAAAAGTACTAGTATAATTTTGAAAACTACCACTTGCTTTACACTGAAGTTGAAGCTTAGTTGATTAAAACTATGTAAAACCAAAAGTATATCAGATGTAAAATATACACTCAAATTGACTATATGAATGAACATTTCAGGAAATTCTAACAATGCAACACAAAAAAAGTTGATATCTGACTCAGTTTACCTGACTGGTCCTTGTTTAACGGTCTTAAAAACTAAAATAGCTTTACAGCACTCATATGATAAATTGCTATGATTTTACATTTGCAATATCAGAAAGCCCAGATAGCCTAAGTGTTGCAACAAGCAGGAAATAATCCTGTTTGACATTTGTTGATGATGTCATCATTACTACAGCTGCTAATGTGTGAGCCCCCAAGAAACGGTTGCTGTGAGTTAGTTTGTATATATACAGTATATGTGTGTGTGTATATATATACAAAAGTTAATAAACATACATATATATATGTTTATTAACTTTTGTTGTTCATTGTTTAAACGTGGTCCATTGACTTATTTTTCACTCTTCAGTTTTCGGTTCGTGTCTTTTTATGATTATTATTATTATTATTACTACTACTATTATTATAGCCTAATAAGATTCCTATTTGTGCTGAGCAAGATTTGAAAAGTCCATTATTGCAAGTCATATCAAAAACTGACTCACAGTCAGTCACGTAGTCATCCCAGTCTCATAATATGCACGCACCAGAACCACCTGATACTGGTTGTGATGACACATTTGACCTCACTGACTAAGACTAAAACTCTCCTTTTTTTTCTCTGCAGCTTTACGTAAGTATAGTTTTGTGAGCGCTAAACTTTTTTTTTT